GCAACCTGCAACTAAAATTGTGCTGAACCAGCGTTGGAGGTGCTGCTGAACAGGGCTTGCAGGGTGTCAAGGCTTTCTCTGCTCCTCAGCTCTGCGCCTCATGGGGCTGGCAGCAGGCTGGGAGCGGGCACAGCCAGGACAGCACCACGGGCTGACCAAAGGGCTGCTGGGTGTCACACAGTGCCAGCTCAGCCACAGAGCTGGGCTTCGGCCCTTCCTCAGTACTCCCTCTTTGGAAGCTGACTAGGCACTGGTCTGCTTGTGGGAGGTGAGAAGTGACTTCTTTTTCATCAGTTTGTGTCCTCCTACCCTTTCACCTCATTTTTAAAACTGCTTTTATAGCTTGACGCACACATTTTCTCACTGTTGCTCTTCTGATTCTCTCCCCCGTGCCACTGTGGGGGAGTATGTGATCTGCTGGGTGGGGATTTGTTGGCTGAGGTGATCACACCATAAACTGAGAATAGGAAACAACCACAACCTGATGACAGTGAAATTATAAATTAACCTGGAAGTTACAGACACAGAAACTATGGCCTTTTTTTCTGCTGCTTTTTCTTTTGCACTTTTTAAAAATTAATATTTGCTTTACCTGTATTTTCACATGGGTAGTGAGATTTTTTTAAAAAAAAAAGGCCACGTTTTAATTCTTAAGTTTTCTCCTGGATGTTGAAGAGATCTTTAGGAAAATTAATTAAATATACAACTCACACTGGCTGTATCTGAATGTAAAACCCCCTATAGGTGCAAAAAAAATTACTTCCATTAGGACACAGGCCAAATTTAGGAAAAAATATGAGCTGGTTTAAAGTATGTGTTTAATATAGGGTCATCAGAGTGCTACACCAGCTGAAGCTGGGGCTGTGTTGCAGACTTGGCCAGCAATCAATAAGCTTACCCAGACAGTGTGGCAGCAAGCTGCCTCTGGCAATATTTTAATATTTATTCATCTTTGCATACCTTTTTGTTCCCATATTTTTCAGGCTGATGGGTGAAATTCAGGCTGCTGAGGTCAGCTGTGGTGATGTCATCAGGGTGAAACTGTCAGTGTCAGAAAATGGCTGCAACAAGGATCCTAGCTTGCAGACATAATTACAACTTCAGTACAAAGTTCTCATAACTATCTTCTAATGTAAGCAAACAGGTTTTGAATTCAGAGAAAAAGCCAGGATTTTCACATATGGGTGATGGTTTTCACTGTATACTTACGAATTTGTGTACAAAGACCTTTTGCTGTTGATGCTAACAGAAGCCAGTCTCTCTCTCTCTCATCATGACAGACCCTACTGCATCAGAAGGTGCTCCATTTTCACGAGGAACAGTCCCCACTGTGCTGCAGGAAGCCATGCAGGTGTGCACCCTGCTTTTCCTCACTTAGGCCTTTCTAGAGCAACGAAACAAAAGGCACACGGACCCATAAAAGCACTGAGGCAGCTGCCCTGCCTGACACACTGCTGATCTTAAAGGCGTTATCAGTGAATCAATGTCGCTGCTTCAAAGCTGCAGCCTGAACTGCAGCCACTTAGCACACAGTGGCTCATTTGGAAAGAATTTGGTTCATAATTATGAAAAAAAAAATATATATTTAAAAAGTGTGTGCCTTGGGAAGTACAGCCACAGAGACAATGCATGGGAGACCTTCACATTCAACACGTTTCAGTGGAAACTCTGCCTGCTGCCCTCCTACCTGCAGGAGAGTCTGTGCACACTTAAACCACAATAAAAGGATGCCACAGCACACCTTTAATGCTCAGTAGTAGGTGGATTGAGAAGGTGGTAAACTCATGCTAGGTAAGGCTCAATCTGAGTTACAGCAAGCAGATTTTTTCCAAATAATCTGAATTACCTGGGGTGAATTCAGCCATTGGCCCTGGCCTTCCCACTGCAGAGATAAAACAGCAGCTGTGCAGCCTGCATCTAAACTCAAAATGCCTGATTTAGAGTGTTTCTGCTGTTCAAGCTGTGGGTCAGCAGGGAGAGCTCAGCAGGGTCTCTTATCCCTTGTAACACTCTTCAAGAGCTCTTGTTCTGCTGCTTTGCTTTGAAGGAGTAAGAATGCCAGAACTGAGCCCATGTTTCCCTGTCAGTTGGGATAACCAGAAAAGGCTCAGGAAATTCTGGAGGCCAAGATAGATAGAGAAGATGCTGAGAAGAAAAAGGAGACTTAAAAAAAAAAAACAACAAAACCCCTTTCTCTGCCCTCTCTCACTCTGGTAACACCTCTCCTGCCCCCATCACCAGTCAGCACATCAGCTTCTCTTTTCTAATTAAATGAGTCTGGAGCTGACTTGGAAAGAAAGTCTGCAACTACGACACAGAGAAGTTTCTTACTGGCTTGTGTGATGAAGTAGGAGCCAGTTTGCCAGTCCATGGCTTAACCTACTTTATTTTAATGAATTATCCATGAGGTGGGATACATAGAGGTGTCATGTCAGTATAGTCTTAGGTCATCACCAACATCATCAGACAAGCTTTGAAATTAGTTCTAAGTGGCAGTACTTCGTGTAGAGTCTAACAAAATATGTATAAGCACCAGCCAAACTAAATTATCATCTTCTCCCCTGCAGATGTGCACTAGTGCCTGCCTGATGCCCTAAGGGCCAGCATGGCATGCCACCCCACTGTATGGAAACCAGCCACAAGGAAAATTATAAATTGAAACTTTTTTTTTAATTCAGAAAAATATTAAAAGTGTGAACTGTGACATATGCAGCTCAAATGATCTGCCTAAGGAATATATTAATTTTTTCACAATGGAAGAACTTTATAGTTGCTTGAAGATTGTACCTTTTTCCCATAAAAATTCATCATATAGAACCATTTTTTGTGAAATATTAATTAATAGATTGTATATATCAAAATTCAGATCATTAGTGATGCCCAAATACTGTAATTATAGTATTGAGAACTGCTCTGAAATTTCAAAGGGTCTCACCCACAATGCTTTCAGCCAAGTCCAGAAATTGAAGCAGTTCAATTTGCCTGTAGTTTTGTAACATTTCTCACTGCAGTGAGATTTGCTTGACGAGACCCTTTGCCTGAAAAGGGATATACTTTTGATGTCTGAGACGAGCCTGACATTTCCACTTCCTATTTAATTTTCAAGTCACTTCTGCTTTAAAGTTCTGAGCTCAAGTTTCCTGCCCCAAGTAAACCAGATCTCTTCATTTTTTACTTTCATTTTCCACTTCTGCTTTTCTTTGCCAGTAATACCACTTGTAGCTGAATTGCAGTGGCAAATGGCTTCCTAACCCTACAGTTTCCACATTTTCTGCAGAATTGATCATCACTTCTTCTGTGGCTGAATAAAATAAACTTCAAGGCTATGCATTAAAATCTTCTAAAAAAAGTGCCATGTCTGCTGTTCAGCTGTTAGAGTGACCTCTGGTTTCAGTGCTGGAGATGAGCAAGTATCACACAGCTTCTGGATGAAGAAATAAACTCAGTGTTTGATACACTGGAAAAAAAGGCGGAGCTTGAGTGACATTTGACTTTGCACTACACAGAAACAATAGAACAGAAAACAAAACAAATTCCTTTTCCAGGTCTCAGTGCTACTGTTGTTCACGACACTGCCAAAGACAATAATAAGGCAAGAGGCTTCTCCTTCCATTTTCTCTTAAACCTACAGCTATTTGGCAGGGAGAAAAAAAAGACTTCATAGCCTACTTCATAGACTACTTCATATAGTATACACTTCCTCATCAGAATCAGGCAACAGCCTAGCACAGCAAAGCAGCAGCATGACACAGCTGCCCTGGGAAGCCCCAGAAAACAAAGGGCCCTAGAATAAGAACCATTAGCAGAGGGCACCAATTAATTTTTATATAAATGTATTTTATGTATAATATATACAGAAATCACATCACATGTATAAATATATAACTATGTGTATAAAATTGCAGCATGGAAAAAACATTTCTATCAGGAGGTGATCTCCAGTCCTGGCAGAGCTCTATCAAAAACCTGTAATAAATATACTTTACTGTAATAAATATACTATACTTAGTTTACTTTATGCTGTGAGGTATTTTCTTACAAAAAATAAATCTGTTTTAATTATGCAACGTGACATGTCCCTCTCCTGTGCAATGGCCGAAGTACCTGTAACAGGTGGGATTTTGGGGGTTTTTTTATGAGGATTCAGAAGATGAATATGCTGCTTATTCATGCAGTAGCTCACAAAGCCCTCTTTCCCTCTGTAGGGAATGGGATGTGCATTTACAGCCACGCACAGGCACTTATTTGACTGTTGTGTGCATTATGACTTGAAAGTAAAACCTAGCCCACCATTCATGCCTTGCAAGAGTCTGGATCTTAGAGCTAAGCCCAGAGTTTCTCACTCCATCTCATCTCCACTTACCTCCATCATGGCAGATTACAAGGCAGAGCATACCTCAATCACTAAATGCTTTTTTAAACTTTAGTCCCCAATGAATTAATTCCTATTGAATATTTTTTTAAAGTGAAAACCCTAATAAGTATTGTAAAGAAGTAACATTAAACAGAAGTCTGCAAGCAGTTCTTGGTGTTCAACCAAAATTAATTGTTGACTGAACTTGATTCTTCACTTTGAGGAGAAGTTTTATTTAAAGGAAATGCCAAGAAAATATTTTCCCCCTCAGTTCCTAGACAAGATTAACTGTATTCTGCCTCAGAAATAAGAGCTTGCAAAAAAAGAGAAAAAAAATCAGCATTAAAATACCATAAAAAGCCATTTGAAGTGCTCTTTTTTGCCCCAGTGTGTTAATCAGAGACTTCAAGCTCTCTGTGACCCTGAGGAGAGGAGGACGTTCCCTTCAGCCTTGCTGCTGTGTTTTTCTGACTGCACTCCCAGGCCTGTGCGCCCAGCAGCAATCCAGGCACAGCCAGCTGGGTTGGTACAGTCTGGAAGCTTGTTGCAATAACACACAGAACATAAAACACAAGGAAGAGCCTGGCAGCTATATAAAACTCCCTCTGAGCTCCAGTCTTCGCAGAAGTTCACCAGCCCCAGCAAGCAGCATGACCAGCCAGTCTCAGGGAATCCAGCAGCTTTTGCAGGCAGAAAAACGTGCCAAGGACAAACTGGAGGAAGCCAAAAAAAGTAAGTAGTTGGCCTGGTTTTACTGTACTTCTCAAGTGCAAGCCCTTCAGAATTACAGTAGCTCACAGAACAAGATTCTTTTATCTGTATACATGCACTAGTGCTGCAGCCAGGCATTAACGCAAGCCTGAACATTCAGAGTCTGCTTAAAACCCTGTGTGCTTGTGCCTACGTGTACATGTGCCTTATTACATTAAAAAATGTTTTCTTTGTTATATTCATCCTGTCAGCTGCATTTGTTCTTCCTTTATCTCAATGCTGATAATGCCATTACTACCTTGCTATTTAAATTAAAATCTCACATGTTGGCTGCCAGCTCTGGAGGACTAGACTCCAAACTCTTTACTTCTCTCAATAGGTTTTGCTAAGATTTTTTAGTGTTCCTCTTTACTTGCAAAATCCAGTAACTTGTCTCCTAATTGAAGCTGGGCTTCAAAAAATTATATGAAAACTAAGGGGAAACTTCAGCACCCTGATAGTAATCAAAGTCACAGTAAAACCATGAGCACTCTCAGTACTGTAATAGATCATTCACAGAAGTTTTATTACATGGTACAAGTAATTACTCTCCTGAGTGCAGGTACAACCACATGAGTCATTGACCTGCACTAGCACTGAAAAATTAATACTGGTTTTTGGAGTGATCTTGCTTCAGAAACTAGCAGCAGAATGTAAAGAAAATGGATGACAATGATGTCACGTGGAGCAAGAACACAATTAAAGGAATATATTTTGTTTTCCGGGAGGAATGGACGCTAAACAGAATAATTTGTGTAGTTTCCATATCCCTTTTACATGTGAATCAGCATTGTTGTGTGCTCATTAATATTAATTTTTAGTGTAACGTGTCAATTTGTACAGCAGCACACACAAATAAGTAGAAAGGCAATTTCCCTCCCTAAGCACCCAGGCACTGCCTGTGCCTTGCAGACACAGTAGAGATTAAAACAAATCCTCCCAACCTTCATAAAACAGAACTCTCTCAGGCAGAAACCTGAAGGCAAGGGACACTTAAGTAGTGTTTTGACCTCTCACACAGCCAAACTAGGAGCTCTGGGAGGGATGTTTTTTCCCTTCTCATGTAGCACAGAGGAAACACACTGCTCCCTCAAAGCAAGAGGGCACACGACCTGGAAAGGCACAGCCTCGGTGCAAGGAGAAGGAGTTTGGCCTGAACACAGACTGCAGAATCAGGCATTAGCTTGAAGTGGATTACTTTTGGGTTTGGGGGGTTGTTTTTGTTGCTTTAATTTCATTTGTGGGGTTTTTTTTTTAAACCAGAAGAGTCACTTTAGCTTTTTCCGTAACGGTCAATTAAAAAGGAAGCTTCATAAATTAAGAAACTCCATATAAAGAATAACTGCAATGTAAAAGTGATGACCAAAGATGAATGTCTTGAAGAATCCAAACACAGTTATGGATGCATTTACTCTAGTCTGCAAAAGACACACTCCCTTGTCACCACCTCAGCCTCACTTGGAGTGCCTGTGATAAGAACAGGATTTCTTACAGATAAAGTATCTTCAGACCCCTCTGAGTCAGAAACTTGAATTAAACCACTACCACTGTTTTCCTCAACACTAACACACTAGTAGGAGTTATTAACCAGCTACAGAAAAACAGCTATTAAGAATTTTCTATCAGCAAAAGAATTCAGAATAAAAATATACTATCACTGTGGGCTTTCTTTTCTATTACTTTTAAGATCACTTTTTTTTTTCATTTATAAAAATTATTAAGGAAAATTAAAAATTCAGTACACAAATGTAAACATAAGTAAACAACCCAGTGACTGCAAGGGTGGAACTGGCTGCCCAGAGGCTGGGGAATCTCCATTCTCAGAGACATTCAAAACCCACTGGATATGCCCCCAGTCAAGTTTCCCTTGCTTCCATCAGGGAGTGTATCCTATAGATTCCTTCCAGCCTCAGCAGTTCACTATGATTCCATGAAAAACCTCAAGAATTTCCAAAATTAGCCGATCAAGGGCAAACCGTTTAAATAAATCCACTCTGGATTTGTTTATTATAGGTTCAAGCATTATAGGTAATCTACCAGCATAATTCTACCTAGACAACCATTCTATTCAACATTGCAAGAAGTTGGCAGTGAAGCTACAAAGCAAAATTAAAATGCCCATGTTGTCCCTAATTTAAGTATTTCCATAGCACTCTCAATACACCACCTTAGATAACTATGCCAGCATCAGTTAAATACTGTGGGACAAGGGCAAAATAAATTCTTTTAGAGGCAAATCTGGCTATTCTAAGTTGGAGTTACTTCAGCAATCTCCTCCCCACGTTGATTCTGCACTTAGATCAAAAAAACAAAGGACTGCAGAGTTTGTCTCAGCATAAGAGCTAAGCTGAAAGACAGTACATGAAATGCAGCAGATCTGTGCAGTGCAGTTGGCTGACCCGTGCGCACACAGCTGGGTGGAACAAGGAGGGAGGTGCTGCTTCACCCCAGAACAGGCAGCTCAGATCCACCTGGCACCAGCTGGGATCAGCAGCTGCTGCTCAGGGCCTGCACTCCGCAGGTCTGGCCTGCCAGGGAAAGCACTGAAGCCTCCCAGCCCTGTGACCTCCTTTGTCACCCCAAGCAGGCATTGCACAACACCACTGCACCGATGGGTCTGGCTGCTGTGCTGACACTGGGACATCAGCTGGCAGCTTGTTCCTGGGGCACACCAGGAAAAGGCATTTGCAAGGAAATGGGACTAGCAAAACTACCCTGATGCAAAGCCTTCAGTGTTTACAGTTGATACTCACATAACCATTCAAAATGTAGTGTGAACACACATAATATTGTATATAAACAGTTAATGGTCCTAGGTTTTGCTGACATATGTGCACTTGTTAGTAATGCAAAAGCCATTTGAAGTAGCTGAAAAAATTAGCAAATAAAATTATATTGATACACACAAAGCAAAAATATAATGCTAAAGTTCCTCTGTACATGCTTAATTACTTCTTGCTCAATACCCTTTCTCCTAGCATGATATCATTAGCTGATATCATTTATACCTGAAAAATTATTAATGTTTTAAATAATTAATTAAATGAACACATGCAAAGCTGAAATTAGATTGATTAAACACAAGCCAAACCAGTCTGCAATCGTTTGACCATTTGAACATGGTGCTGCTTTATCTATCATTTTTACTTTAAGCAAAATTTGGATCCCAGAAATAACTGAGCATTGTCAGCGCCAAGACATCAATTCCTGAAAATCCTTTTGGGTAAAACAAGGGAAACAGATGTGTCATGAACACTGGGCTCAGCAAAACTCATTCTCCTATAGATTTTTATATCTTCCCTTGAATTTCTCATGCCTAATAAAAAGAAAACTCATGATCAAGATGAAAGATCGTAGAAAATCAGATTAAAACCAAATGCTAATCAAAATAAGATATTGTAAACAGAATTATATCCATGGCGCTCCTCTTGGACAATATCCAAGACATATTTTATCTACTGAGAAAGCTATACATAATTCTCAGCTTGCCTCTATTCTATTTTATTAAAAGTACAAAATAGTTTTATCACAACGCACATCCCCAAATCCCATTTTCCAGACAATTTAGCAAAGACAACTGAAATGGTTCTATTTTAAGAAAATATGATTAATTTTTGGCAACTTCTTCAAATGACTTGATTTCTATGCAGAAATTCAGCTAGAAGCCTAGAAGATATGTTTGAAAACAAAACTCCAATTTTACCATTGCAGTTTTTGGAAAGTAAGATAACTTAGTGTTTGGACAAATTAGAATGCAAAATTTTTGCCTCCTACTGTCTTTCTTCCAAGATCTAAAAAACTCCAACAACTTAAAAGACACCAGTTCATGTGGATCTAGCCAGAGCAAAGTGTTTCATGAACACCACAGAAATACCTAGAAAGAAGAATAGAGCCTTTCTCCATGCTACTAACACCTTCCCATGTTAGGCAAGAAAATCCTGTACAGTTCTGAATGGTCACAGCAAGTTTTTTAAAATTTGGCCAATTTAACACAATGGATAAGGAAACCAGGCATAGCACAGCCTGGTTTGCTGCTTTGCTGCTCTCCATCTTCAGGGATGGAAGGAGGGACAGGGGGCCAGCAGCAATCCTTGCCCCCATAGCATGACCTTTGTGGCAAAAATCTCTTCAAGTTTGGGGCTTTCTGTACCTCACCTCTGATCCTGAGGAAATGTCATAGGGCCGGGCTGTTTTTCCCATCCTCCTGCACTTCTTGCCCTCTTTTTGCATGATTTTGGCTGAATTTCTGCGCTCCACCACCCTTCAGTGTGTAAGGGTTGATTTCAGCTTGGCTGTGCTCTGCAGAGAACCAGCCCAGCAGATCAGTAAGGCTTTGAAAAGGCAGTCCTGTATTGCACAACTACGGTAGCAGACAAGTGGTTAACAACAGACTGATTAATTAATTTTGGTTTGTCCCTAGTGGAACAGCAGGTTAAGCTCTAGTTTCTGCTTAACTTAATCAGGTGCAGCATATGCACCGTCGCATATGTTGGCAGTTGCCGATTCTGTCCACAACGTTGTTGGACTAGCAGTAATTTACTCACAGCTTTTCCACTTAATTAAATAGGAAGCAGCAGGTTCCTGCTGTGCCAATCCTAAAGGCATCATGGAAAAATGAAATGGCTGCCACCCTACAGTGACACTCTATGTATTGTGCTTACTCCAGAGCACTGTCAAGAGCTGACATGTATGTATATATATACTCTTTGGTTCACTATCTATATTGTCAGAGGCAACTGAACTGTTGTTTTATAGTTAATCTCTTTCCATTTTCTGCATTTTAAATGGATATATTTATCTATCTGGTGGCCAAATATGCAACATATTTACTACAGATGGCCCCCCAGATGGAATTTGAAATTAAAATCCCACTGATTTTGAAATAATTTAATTTGCTATAGAGACCCAGTTCCTCAGCTGGTGAAATTGGCAAAGCTTCATTGTAGTCACTCCCCCTGACTGCCAGCTCCAGAAAATCGCCCCCCAGCTCCACTCCTACAGAGTGGAAACTCTACAAAAGGCTGATCAGCTCCAAATTTGGAGAGGAGAATAAGGGAAACTTCAAAATACAGACCTGAACCTGGTTCCAAATTTTGTTGTCCAGACTTATGTCAGGCTCTCACACAGATCTGTCAGTTCACTCACCCTAGTCCCAGTACTTCATACAGTGAGTGGCAGAAGCTGGGGCAAATCAGCCTTTTCCAAACAAATACAAACTCTGGAAAAGTACCCACTAGGTTTAAAACAGCCTCTCTCCCATTTATACATAAGCACAGTGCCTATATGGGAAAAGGACTCTGATAAATATAATTTCCCACACACGAGAGCCCCGCACTGATGGACTGGGAGTCAATAAAGCTATCTAGTTCCTCAGTAGGTTGCTCCTTCCTGTTAAAAGCCTGCCATGCCAGAGTACATGCCACTCCCAAGGTTCCACAATAAGCCAGTAGTCCAGAAATCAAGACTTAAAAAGTAATTCCCACTTTGTGCATCTCTCTGCTTCTACTCACCCATCTGCAGATAATTATTTTGGAAAGAGCAATCAGCTGGAGAAGTAATTTCCTGCTGAATCAGGTATTTTACCCAGGCTTTTGCTGAATCTCAGGTGTATTAAAAACAGTCTTCCTCCCAAGCTTCAGCTTCCTCATAATGCCATGCTCAGTGGGAGCAAGTTTCCATATGACACACCCGATAAGGCTGGAGAAGCCCAGCTCAGATGTAACCAAACCAGTGTAACAGCTTGGAGAAAGAAAACAAGAAATCTTTCATCTTCCTAGCCTAGGCAGAGAAGGTTTCCTAGGATTTCAGGAAAAGAAATAGTGGTGTTAAATAGGTTGTTACCATAAGTAAATAAATCAGCGTGCCACAAGAGATCAAGATGGCTCTTTCAGCTGCCTAGGCCACCACTCTCACGTTCTTGTGATATCCTAATTTAAGCAACTAAACAATTTTTCAGCCACTGAAGATATTTCTCCTGTTTAAGAAAAGGGAGTAACCTTATTCCCCCCACTCCTAAAATTCTATCTGTACAGCAGAAAGAGACCCCAAAAATCAGCACTAGCTCAGGTGTCTCAAGTATAACATAGCAAAATTCCATGCAAGAGGTTTAAAGTTAGAAAATTACTGTTTCCTCACAAGGTACTGTCACAGAATCCTGAGGAGATCCATGCAACTTTACTGACCTTATAAATGACAGAGAAGCCCAGAGGGGTTTTGTGACATACTCACCAGTTCCTTCATGTACAACCTTAAACACCACATTTCCATCAAACCGTTTACTCTCATTCTTTACATGACAGCCCTACTAGATCCAGAAAGGTCCTTATGTCCAGTCCTGCAGTGACTTACATGCTCTTAATTTGACAAGCCCATAGCATTTTACCTAAAACAAACTATTCACAGCAAACAAAATTAGGTATGTAATCAAGCCTGGTGAGGAGAAAGGCTCTAGTTTCCACTACACACTAAAATGTCACCTTACAGATCACCTTGTTTAAAATGAAAAGAAAAAAAATTAATCCCTTTCATGGTTTCTGTGCGTTGACAAAGAATTGACCTCCTTATCTTAGTCACTCACCTCTGCATTTAACAAAGGTTGGTAGAAGAGGATGGGGGAAGAAAGGACAAAGCCTGAAAGCTGCAACTCAGTTTGGTAGTGGTTAAGACATCTTGCATTATTTTGGATATCTGCCAGCTCTAAGCAGAATCCAGTTGGTGTGGGATGAAGGGATTCTGGCAACCAATCAATACAGGAAATCTTACAGAATAACGTCTTTTCCCATCCGTGACAACTAAAATCTGTTATCTGGCTGCTACTATTGCTGATGAAGAAAAGATAGATATTTATTTAAACACCAAGCTGTGATTAGGAAAAAAATGCATTTGTGTTGCAGGAAGATGTCTACTTGCAGAAAGACTTCTGTCAGCAAACCAAGAAGCTCTTCACTTGATGTGTGCTTCTGCACAGGAAGTTGGTCTCAAAAGAGGGGTACTTGCATGACTGGCTGGCAGTCAAAAAGTGTTCTAAGTCAATGACTTCATCTCTTCTGACCATTCTTGTGTAAATCCGATGGACAAGACTTTCAGCAAAGTCAGTGTTCTACTGTGCCAGCTAAAATATCTCTGATTTGGAGAGATTCATCTCTGGGGATACAGGGATGGTATGAAATAAATGCCTTTTTCTTCCCCCTCCAGGAAAGGGTAAAAGGCTGAAGCAGGCCAAAGAAGAAGCCACAGCCGAGATAGACCACTACAGACTACAGAGGGAGAAGGAATTTAGAAACAAGGAAACAAATGTAAGTAAGAAACCTGCATGTATTCTTTTGTCTTACCAAACTACTCAATGGTAAACCAAATTGTTTCCAAGAGTATTACCTGGAGACTCCTGCACACCAGTTTGGTCATACTGATTAAACAGAGGGGTGTCATCTACAATGTCTATATGCTTCATTTGGACTTTTTCACAGACTTTGAATGCATTTGTAGAAGAAATTGTGAACATTCCCCACCAAAATGGTCCAGATTCCATATTTGGTTCACACTTATGCTTTGAAGACATATGTACCTCATATATACCTCAGGGTATTTCTTTACTCTTCTCAGCAGAAGAGTAAAGATGTTGCTTTTTTGTGAACTCCATTTTTTCACCACAACCAAATTAAAGCTGCAGGGAAAGGCCACTATTTGTCAACGGAATGTTTCACATGAGCAGGACAGAGCACATATCGCCCCTCAAATGACAGCATGTTGTACAAGATCGTTGCAGTCCTCCTGCACGTTCCCTGACCCCATTATGTCGAACATTCACCTACCCAGAAAAATGCCATCATTAAGGTGCGTCTGGAGGCAGACAGGAGCTCCAGCAAAGCCAGTGCAGAGGGAGCTCTGATGCCCGGTTCAGTTTACTTTCTTGGGTATTTGGACCCAAGTATTTTTAATTCTCTGTCATAGTCTCCTCTAATGCCATTCTTCCTCCTACTTTGCATCACTTATATTCAAACAGGAGCAAATTTTATCATACTATGAGAGGCTTCATATCCATCCAGAATTAAGAAGAGCAACAGAAAAACAAAGATTGAGGTTAGAATGACAATATGCAAAATCTTTTTTCAAAACACACAAAATTTTTTGCCTGGATCTCAAACCAATTTTGCTTTTTCACTCATTGTCTGAGGTCACCTAACTCTGGAGATGTGCAGCCTACTTCTGAGTTTTGTGGCTTCTGAGCCAATGTAATATTTTAGCAGCTTTGAAATGACACTAGCATAAAACCTGTATGGGAAAAATAAGGGAAAAACCTTCAAGGTCAGCAGAAATCATAAACTAAGCAGAGCATCGCCTGCATTCCGCAAGAAAAAGGTCCTCAAATTCAGAAGCTGAAGAAGAGAGGGAAAAACTCAGAAGAGTAAGAGTTTACTATCTCAAATGACATTAGCATGAGCCAAGAAAGCAGGGCTGCAGAGGCTCTTCTTAAAATTATAATACTTTTCTTGAGGCTTTTCAAAAGTATTTAGCGGCTGGATAACATGCAACCATCTGGGATCTCTAGAAAGTTACTTTCCCCAGTGGAAAAATTCAGTTCCATAAATCTGCTCTAAGCTGTACAACCTTTCCCACACACAACACTTGAAACTTGTGTAAAAGTTAAAATAAAATGTCAGCTAAAAATAGTTATTATAGAAAACTATAATCTTTTCCCAATACTTATTATTATGTCTACAACCTACATTTCTTCCAAACTGAAAAATGGTTTACATGTGGATTATGGACAAATGTCTTACTATATTGCCAGGTACTGATAACAGAACAGGGAAGGTAGTCTGTGCAAAATATGCTTTTCCTTTTTTTAAGGACTAAGTTGGGCTGAAATCACACAGAAAATAGAGTTAACAACCCCTCCCTTGTTTCTGATCATGCTCTAGGTACCCCACTAATATACCACAGGTTAGCTCCACCTGCTAGTCCACCCCAGAGAACCGTGGCACAAACAAGAATATGTTACTTATTCCTTTCTTACTATCTGAGCATGCAGAAATGTCTTCTTCTCTCCACATGGAATTCTTTAGCTGGAAACCAATTTCTCTGCTGGTATCAGAAGGACTTTTCCATAAGGGAAGAATTCAAGAGATGTTGGGGCAGTGGGGGAGGAGGGAGCAAAGTCACAGATTTGGAACGTGTGCATCTGTTTATAACATAACCTTGCTAAAATGTTCAGTGAGTCTAGAGTCAATTAAATTCTAAGCGAATGTCCTGATATTAACTGTGCCAGAAGCTGTCTGGTATTTCGCCAGATAAGAAGATGTAACATTAAAAGACCTTGTCTGAGGCCTGTTGAGGGTTATACATCACTAACTGCTGAAGACATTTCAAGTACTCTGAAACTGTAATTATGCATTTTCAGGAAGGCTTTTCCATGTTTGGGCTTTAGCTGCACTCACAGGCATTCTCAGTGAGGCCAAACGAAGGCACACAGTGATAGAACTTAGCTGCCTAGTCATTAAAACAGAAAACAAATTAAAATGAGCCATATAAAAGACAAAACATACACAATGTTTTTCCCACAGCGAGCTGGTAAACTTTCATTACATAGGGAGATTCCCATTGCTAATGAGCATATGAGAGTTGCCTTTAATCCTGTTTTTATGCTTACAGTTGAACCCAGATCAAACCCTCACTGTTCAGAGGCTCTATGATGTGTTTATGTTATGCTTGTGCTACATGATGAAGAAAAGTTCAATAAACATGGTTATATGTAGCCTCTCATTTTGCTCAGAGATCTTCTGCTTTTCAGGTAATGGGCTCCCAAGGTAACCTCTCTGCCAAAATAGAAGAGCAAACAACAGAAGCCATCCGAAACCTCACAAGCAGCTACCACAGGAACATGGAGGGCATGATGAAAAAGCTCTTGAGCACAATATTTGACATCAGCCCTGAAATTCACCCAAACTTCAGACCTGCAGTTTAAGATTCATTGATGTTCTGTGCTTGCAAAGCAAACTAGCCTTCTTTCTTGATAAGCATAAATATTTCCTCATGTATTGTTTCTGTATGTGTGAGAAAAAAAGAGCACTGAAGCCAAAAGCACACAATTCCACACAGGCTTTTGATGTGGCAGGAATTATACAAGCATTTGTTGGAATATTGTTTCCTGTAGCTAAGCCCCTGTCATTTAGGCAGGGACAAGTCAACAACAGCAAAATAAATGATTATTTGACACCAGCAGGTTTTCAGTGGGAGTCTTTGTTCCTTTTGTCTTATAAAATTTTCTGTACTTGTATGTTATATTGCATAAAGTCTGTCTATCCTAACCTTTACTGTACTTCAAGTCACATGAAATAGAATATCACTAAAAACTAAAATGGAACATTTCTGTTTTTCTTGTGACACATAGAGTGGTCAGGTTATGGACCATACAGGACTATTTGATTTTGGTCAAAAATAATAGGTCAAAGCATTTTCAGTTTTTCTATGCTAGTTTAAAGCAAAATGTAGTTAACTTGTACAAAACTATGCTTAAAAGCCTACTTAAATTATTATACTAAAATTTAACTACACCACAAACTTTATATAGCTTTGTTAAGTCTGAAAAATGAGAACAGGCATAATCATTATTTACAAAATTGCTATGGTGCAAGGGCCAGGCTATCACATCTATTTTCTATATAGTTACCCTGAAAGCACAGGAAGCCAAGGGCTCAAACTCTATACCAGTTATCCTAAATGGTACCTGAGTCCACGGGTTGTCCACTAGAAATCACATCAGCTACAGCTCATTTCTGTTACCCTAAGCAACCTTGGGTAATACTTCCCTCTGCAGGAGCACAGATTTCCCTTGGAATAAAATTCTACTGAAGTTGTGAAAATACAATATGATCTGTGCTCTCAAGGTGAAGCCCATTCAGTGTAATGGGAGGCTGATGGGAGGCGCTGATGAAGTGGGGATGTGACACACACCTGCACTGTGAGCTCCTTTAATGCCTGTCTCCACTACAAAATTACACCAAATTAGAAAAGAAGCTTGAGAAATGACTAGCAAACAGTAGCCATGATTTTCAGTCCATGTAGACACAGACAAATCATTTCCATTTCACAGCAGCTAGTCAAAGGCAATCTCCTGTTCCAGCAAGGTTTACACAGTTGATGTGCTGTCATGTGTAAAATGACCGTAAAGCTGTAGTCAACCTAATGTCAGCAAACATGACTCCTCAAGGCTGTGCCTGGATAGTACATAATCTCCAAGCCCTGATTGTTACAGTCTCCTGCGCTTGATTATATTCTCTGGGGACCCAAGGATGCTGAGGAATGGGAAAGAAACTAGAAATCCTATTGACACCAGCTGGAAGGCTCATTTATTTAGGAGCGCTTTGAATTGATGTGTGATAGGTTTTGATTTCCTGGGGGGATGAAGGCACTCCAGTCCCAGCCCATGTGCAGGACCCCATGCAGGCACCTTCCTGCACAGCTTGGGACAGTCAGGGCTGTCTCACAGCCCAGGGGCACATGCTTCCAGCTTGGGTCATGTCTGCAGCCCCAGTGCAGTGCTCAGCTGAGAAACACAGATCTGTGAGCCTAAAGAGTCACCAAGGTGGACACTAACACCTCACAGGGTCTCACTGTGATGCTCAGGACTGCTCTGCTTTCCCTATGGGCTACCTCAGCACCCTTGCCTCCAGCTATCACTTCTAAACATACAGAAATGTTGCAGGTTCAGCTACAGAACTGAAGCAATGGGGCTCCCATTGCTGCATGGGATAAAACACCCCCACCCCCCTATGGTGACAGCAGAATTGCCACAGCCTGGTGGGCAGCAAAATCAAGCAGCAGCTTCTCATGTTGCTTCTCAGCAACCAAGTTACTGCCTCCTGAAACAGGTTTACTACCTCCTCTTGAAATAAAGATTTGCCTTCCTGGTTACCCTGCTTCTTTTTATGACAATCCCTCTCTCCCTCATTCCCACCAAAATCTGTCTTCTCTCACCTGCTGCTTCTCTTGCAAAGCCTTCAAGGCTGTCTGTACCCTTCTGGTCCTAATGGCCAGGGACACATCTCTTATTTAAATATCCTCTGCCCTGCAGTCACAGCCATGACCTGCCTGTATCCTTGTTATCACCTGCATACCTGAGGTACACACCAAGTCTTAGGTTATAAAACCTTTTTGAATATGATTATGTTCTTGAACTCTGGCTACTCCACATTTACCACTCATATAAAAGGAATTAATTTGATAATATTAGGTTTTTGATCTCAAGGTATAAATCTGAGAGCATTTAGCACTCTGAGCATTTACTCTCCTCTACATTCAGTCCTACTTTCAGACATAAAAAAATTGGTCATACCATCACTTTTAGATGTAAGGGTCAAACTAGACTTCATGTTATTTGGAAAGATTATATTAAATTAAGAGCTTAAGTCACTAGCTGCAGCAATGGAATATTGGGGTGCCAAGAAAGCACATGCTGAGTTTATAAGGGCACAAAATACCTTGTATGTGGCAGTTACATACAGATGATAATGGAAAAAAAATTGTTCCATGCAAAAGGAAAAAAGGATTGTTAATTTCAGGGTTTTTTTAGGGTAAAGGTAAAAAGGTAAAAATGGTTACTCTGAATTAGCAGTCACTACCAGGAATGATAACAAATGTCCTTTCATCTCCTGGGGATATTCCCAGACCCACAGGAGCCCCCAGTCCTCACAGAGCCTTGACACTTTATTACCTACTATGCACCAATGCAGTTGCAAATAAAATGGCAGTATCTCACATGCCACCACACAAACAGATTTTAAGACACAAGAAGCCACATACAGATAACACTCATATAAACCTTTCTCTTTTGTTTCATAATTACCATTAAAATCAATTGCAAAACTCCCATAGTGTGACATATTAGGACTGAAACAACAAACTTGAGTTTCCTAGATTGGCCCAGTTCTTCACTGGCTTACAGGACAGGGGTTAACAAGGCCCTTTCTGTCTGGAAATGAAGACCTGTATTAATCAATAAATTCTAAATCCACTGATTAAAGTATCTCAAATAACAACTAGGTCATAAATAACAACAAAGGGTCATACTAGTGAAAAGTACAAGAACTGTTTTATACAACTCATGACATGGATTGGGCTGAATTTCTCTGGCTATTCTCCCTCAAAATTCTCCTTTGAGTTATAATATATGAGGATGTAGTGATGTGGTTCCCATTCATGGGTGATGAGGGGAGATCTCTGAACTCATGCCAGTAAGACAGAATATCTTTCAAGTCTAAATAAAGTAAAATAAAACAGACATGAAGAATTAATACTACGCTCTGTGCTGAAGTTGTCTACTGACTTTCCCATTAATTTCTGAAGAGTTTGGAAGCCGAGGTTTGGGAAATCAGAACCAGATGTTAATCCATTACATGGATTATGCTATTAAGTGAAATTTTTCCATATTAAAATATACTTGGAAGTTCATACAATCTGTAAAACATAAGTTGTTCTTGTAAATCATCATATGTAGCGTATAAGTGTGTGTGTATGAAGTTTTAGAACAAAATACTTCAGTCCCTGACTTAAAAGATTTTGTAGCCCCAAGGCTGTGAGGAATGTTTCCCTCTAAGTTAGGACAGGATGCTCTGCTGTTGCAGAGCTCAGGAACCACCACAGGGCAGGTGACAACAGGCTGCCATAACATACAGTCACAAGAGATGTGAACCTCAAGATCCATACTTTCACATGCAGCCTTGCCCAGAAGCATCCTTAACTGCAGACAAAGCAGGAAAGATGTCTATGTGTAAGGATATATTGGGCATCCCTGCAGCAGGGGACAGGGTCAAACTTTGGGTAAAATTTGGGCAGGGACAGACACCAGACTGAGTCTGGGCTGAAATTTGAAGACATTGTTAGGCTATTAAGCTATACCTTCCATCATTTGCAGTGGCACTGGCTGTTAGCTATACTGACAGGCAGGTAATACTGCCTTCAATTAAAGACACATGAACAGTAACAGTTCTTACAAAAGGAAGAATCAACCTTACCCCTGTGGTCCATCAATGGAAATACATTATGTTCAACTGGAACTTCTATTAACTGGGTGCATCTTTCAACTATGGGTTTGGTTTTTTTCTCAAAATAACAGCATGGAGACTAATCAAATGTTGTCGAGACACAATTCTTCTTCAGCCTCAGCCATGAGTCAGGCTCACACTCTAGGATGTCCTCACCAAAAGACTAACTCATGGGAATGGTACCCATGTGGCATCTCATCATCACCTTCTCCAAACTCTGGGGCAAAGAACATGGCCCTGACTGTCCAACAACTCAGTGTAGAGCCAGGTGCCATTGAAAATAAACACAAGGGGAGCAAAGGACAGTGGGCAAAGATTTTGGGGTGACAGCAGTAATTCCAGGTCTTTTCTGTTCTGGAAGCCCCCCACGGCCACATATTGGTTAAGTAGGACATTTGAAAATTACATTCTGCTTCATGTATACAATGCATATTCTTCAAAATAATTTCCTCCAGCTCCTCATTGAAATAGAAGGAATGCCTGTTCCATAATACACAAGCATCATGTATTCCTGTCAGCTTTCTGTGGCCTGTCCTTCACAGATTTGATTATTCCATATTTTATGGTTGTATAAGGCACTTATACTCTGAGTCTTCCCCAAGGAACATTAATGCTTGTTAGAAATACATGACCCAACCAGTATTACTACAAAGCACTTGGAAAATGTTACATTGGAGTACTATTAATACACTCTATTGCACTTGCACTACATGACTGCATGTGGAAAATCTGATGACTTGCAAGCTTATTAAGTTACTGAAATTCCTCATTGCTTTTATGAAAGATATGCCACAACTGAACTACCTGACCCTGGGTGATTCCTGGAAGTCCCTCTGGCCCCAGATCTGATTTATTTCCAGGGACATCAGACTCCAATATGCTACCAAATTTCCATATCACTTTTGGAAATACAGGATTTTTG